GACCAGCCCCTGTGGTGCACAGCGCCGCCACACCCTAACACATCTCTACACCCTACACCCTCTCACCCTACACCCTCTCACCCTACACCCTCTCACCCTACACCCTCACAACCTCCCCACACCCTCACACACCCTACACCTCACACTCCAGTCTTGTTCACAACAGGCAGGACTGGTTCCTCCTGGTGGGTGTGGCATACCAGGGAGTGAGGGGTGGAGAGTGGAGGAGGGGTAGGAGGGAAGGGGGGGGGGGGTAAACAGAGCTGGGGCTAGGGGTGAAGGGGGGGGGGAAGGCAAGGCGTGGATAATGTTCATTATGGCATTGTATACTCTGACGAATGTGGTTGAGTCTACAAGTAGTGAGGACTGAGCCGTGCACAGGTACACGCTCTAATTGTCACGTGACCCTGACAATCACCAAATGGCCGGGGGGGGGCTATTTACTTCAATGAAACCTCTTGGTAGTTTATTTCACTCATTTATGACCCGATTGCCGAACCCCCCCCCCCTATTTACCTATTCTCATTACGAACAACCGTGTATATATATAACTTTGTCACCAGCTTGGTTTTGGCTATTTCAGAACTTTGTACCTTAAGCATATATCTATGTACTCGTGTGCCTTTACGGGTTATTCATGCCCGTGCCACCTCTTTGGTGGCTTAATCTCCACACACACGTGGCTGAGGTGAGCCAAGGCTTGTCTGGGCGCGCATGGTCACGCTCTAAGATAACACACAAGATATTTGCTCACACATCTGTTGCCAAGTCAAGTATCCTCCTCACCTTTGTCGTGTGGTTTCTGGTTATTATTACTTCCCGATCTCGGTACAGGCGGCTTTGTTCTTCACGCGGAATTGAGCATTTCAGGTTCGATTCCCGGGTTGGGCACAAATGGTTGGGAAGGTTGTAAGGAGGGAGCCGGCCGGAACAACCGTGGACATTTTCAAGAGGAAACTAGATTTATTCCTCCAAGGAGTGCCGGACCAACCGGGCTGTGGTGGGTATGTGGGCCTGCGGGCCGCTCCAAGCAACAGCTTGGTGGACCAAACTCTCACAAGTCGAGCCTGGCCTCGGGCCGGGCTTGGGGAGTAGAAGAACTCTCAGAACCCCATCAACCAGGTATCAACCAGGTATCAACCAGGTCGGCCGAGCGGACAGCACGCTGGACTTGTGATCCTGTGGTCCCGGGGTCGATCCCGGGTGCCGGCGAGAAACAATGGGCAGAGTTTGTCACCCTATGCCCCTGTTACCTAGCAGTAAAATAGGTACCTGGGAGTTAGTCAGCTGTCACGGGCTGCTTCCTGGGGGTGGAGGCCTGGTCGAGGACCGGGCCGCGGGGACACTAAAGCCCCGAAATCATCTAAAGATAACCTCAAGAGGAGAGGAGGCCAGGAGTTAGTGTTGTGGGATTGCATGATGGGAGAGGAGTCACAATAACGTGGCTGAAGTATGTTGACCAGACCACACACTAGAAAGTGAAGGGACGACGACGTTTCGGCCCGTCCTGGATTGCTAGAATGGTCCAAGACGGACCGAAACGTCGTCGTCCCTTCATTTTCTAGTGTGTGGTCTGGTCAACATTGCATGGTGGGTCGGTAGTACGAACCTGGGGTGACTGGCTGCATGATCGCCCAGTTGGCCTGGTCGACTGATTGATTGATGAAGATAAAGCCACCCCAAAAGGTGGCACGGGCATGAATAGCCCGTAAGTGGTGGCCCTTTTAAGCCATTACCAGTATCAATAGATGATACTGGAGATCTGTGGAGGTGCGACTGCACCCTGCGTGACGGGAGATGTCTCCCGTGCTGGTCGACTGTCTTGATGGTTGGTAACGAAGATGCTGTTACGTTTGTTGGGGAAACGTTGGTGGACATTCTCAGGGGCAGGCAGGGGGTGTGGCCCCCAGGGGCAGGCAGGGGGTGTGGCCCCCCAGGGACAGGCAGGGGGTAAATGCGAAAGTGGCGGACATGGAAGGGCCATGGCAGTGGAACGGTATATGGGAAAGAATGGCGAGAATAGGTGTATGGACAGGAGAGAATGGTGGCGGTAGGGGAGGAGTATAGCAATATAATGGTGGCAGGGAATGGTGTATGTGAGACGTATAATAGTGGTAAGGGGGGGGAGGGAAGAGATGGTGAGAAGCTGTGTGCTCACAGCTCTGCCCATCTCCTCACAGCACGGTTCATCACTATACTTAACACAACACCACCTTCTCGGCTTTCATTTTCTATTCCGGTTCTTTGTTGACGTGTTTTTCTCCCCTTCAATGATTTCTTAAGGGGGGGTTCGAACTGGGAGTAATTGGTGGAGGAGCCGTTGATGGCCAACCAGCCACTCGCCAGCCTCGCCATTCTTAGCTCAGAGAACGCCTTCCTCTTCCTCCCCCCCCCACCCTCCCTCTCTTGTCTCTAAAGGGTACTAGGGGGGGATGGGGTATTCTCTCCCTCATTATACCTGTGTCTCTCTCTCATTTATTATACAGGACCTCTCCCAGGCATCCTTAGGCCTGGCAAGGTGGAGGAGAGCGTCTCCAATTACTGCCCAACTGTTTAGTGGTCGTTATGGGATCTTTTTATTCACCGTAAGAATGCCCTTCGACCTAAAATACCACCACAACATAATGTTAAACCTGTCTCGTAAATAATGTAAACCAACTCTACAACTATTAAAAAAACAAAAAAAATCCTGTAAAAAAAACCGGTAGTAAAAAGCTGAATAAACGAAACAGGAAAGGAAAAAATATAAAATATAAAATCCAGTGTAAAGAGTACACAGGAAGGACTTGGAATCTTTTATATAACTTTTTTTTCCCCCCATTGGAGAATTTCTAGCGATGGACGAGAAGCCCAAGAGTGTTTGTTTACTCTTGAAGGTGCGCGCCAAATTTTGTATTTATTTTTACGCGCCAAATTTTGTATTTAATTTTACGCGCCAAATTTTGTATTTATTTTTACGCGCCAAATTTTGTATTTATTTTTACGCGCCAAATTTTGTATTTATTTTTACGCGCCAAATTTTGTATTTATTTTTACGCGCCAAATTTTGTATTTATTTTTACGCGCCAAATTTTGTATTTATTTTTACGCGCCAAATATTGTATTATTTTTTACGCGCCAAGCCTCTCTGGAGAGCGCGGTCGACACAATGAACCCGCCCAACCAGGAAACAGAGAGAGACAACACACACAGACATGGGGGATAAAGTGGACACACAAAGGTGGAAGAGAATAATGGAGGAAGAGAGCCGGTGGGCAGGAAGTGATACAATGAATAAGAGAAGGAAAACTTAACAAATAACTTACACGGAATGCGACCCGATCAACGACTTAAAAAAAAAATAGTGGAGAAAGAAAACGGAAATAAGACATTGTGCCATGCTTGAGTACAGTACCCTAAGGGAGGGGATGTGGCTTGGTATATATATATATAATGAAATAATATATACAATATGGGTTAAAAGGGGTATGATGAAGCGGTAAGAATCATGAGTTGTTATTACAGATGGGACCCGACACAGGTAGCTACCAGGATGCTACTCTGCCTGGATCACCTCGCCAGATGAAACGGGAAACTGTCAACCCTGGGAAAAGGGGGGTTAGGGGGGTTAGGACACGTGGGGTGAGGCTAGGGGGGAGGGTTAGGACACGTGGGGTGAGGCTAGGGGGGAGGGTAAGGACACGTGGGGTGAGGCTAGGGGGGGGGGTTAGGACACGTGGGTGAGGCTAGGGGGGAGGGTTAGGACACGTGGGGTGAGGCTAGGGGGGGTTAGGACACGTGGGGTGAGGCTAGGGGGGAGGGTAAGGACACGTATATGATGTACTCTATACTCAATCTGTGAGCCGTAGCGTAAAAAGGATTATAGTGAGCACAAACGGCCTTTAATCAGATCTCAGCGGGTATTTTAATATTTACAATTTTCCCCTAAGCGCAGGAATATCCCTGCCAAACAAAAAAAAATGCAAGCTGAACTGCCAGATATGCTTGTAGCCAAGACGTATTCGAGTTGTGGCTCCGTCTGTCAGTCTTCTGAGACTGTTAGTTGCCCATTACAAGTGTTTAACATTTCATTGTGATGAACAGGCAGGTATCGGGTATAGGCAGGTATCGGGTATAGGCAGGTGTCGGGTATAGGCAGGTGTCGGGTATAGGCAGGTATCGGGTATAGGCAGGTATCGGGTATAGGCAGGTATCGGGTCTAGGCAGTTATCAGATATAGATCAAGCGGGTATGAACAAATGGTCTGCTAGATCGTGTTTGAACTCTTGTACGTTCTCCATATTCTTCTACGTTCTCGTCTACTGACACCTCTTAGAGATGTATTTAATAGTGCAAGATTACGTTCACCATTGTCTCTATTTATCACAAGCTTTGCAAGGGGCATCAACATTATCTTGTTCCTGCAGTCCAATGTGAGAAGTGAATCCACAACAGTTTGACTCCCTTATTGAATATGCATATTTATGCATATTAATGTATGCATACAAGCCAGGGAGGGAATTATCAGGGAAATTTGCCAAGCCACTATGACTATATAGCACTGGGAAGAGATCAGATTTTGGGATGGGACCGGGGAGGGGGAAGGAATGATGCCCCAACCACTTGGACGGTCGGGGATTGAACACCGACCTGCATGAAGCGAGACCGTCGCTCTACCGTCCAGCCCAAATGGTTGTCGGGCATACAAGCCAGGCACACGTATATCTACCTGGCTTGGGAGACAATACGTTACTATTTGGTTACAACTATTTCATGCTAGTAATGAATGACTTCATTCAGACTCCTCATCATTCAAGAAGTCATTCAAATGTCTGCTGCAGTGTTTACAGTAATTTTGAGTGCTACAAGGATAGCCAACAGTTTAATCTGCAAGTTCACTGTAGAAATGTTCATGTAGAACATGTAGAAAATGTTCAAATTGTTCTAGATTAGCTTTAAAGTCTTAAGTTACGAGTTTATTTTTAATTATTTTTTAAATGTTCTGTTTCCTTTTTCTACAGGGAGACTAGGAATGGTGGGGACGAGATGAGAGCATCAAGCTGCTACTGTGAGTTGAAGCACAATGAACACTCGCTAAGACGCCTCGAGCCCCCTTATCCGTGCTCCTGTCGCCACACTTTCATCCTCAGACTCTTCCTTTGCCACCTTGTAAGACAAATTGACCCCTTTTCTGCCCTTGCTCATTGTTGTGGCACCCGACCCTGTCCTTCACTAGCCTCATCCTCGGGTACACTACTATCTCCTTCATTATCCCTGGTGTCTATCCTTTAGTTCTTCCCCCAGGCTCCCTGTCCTGCCACTGTTCCTCTTCACTGACTGCTCCTTTCCCCTTACTCTAGCCTTCACTCTCCCCCACTTCCCCCTTTATTTTGTCGACTTTCCCTTTGGTGTGCTTCAACCTTACATTTCAACTGCCGTAACGTAATCGTTAAGCTGGGGGCCGCTGAAGCCATGTCGGTCATCTGTCAGACCTTCGTCCAGAACACATGGAGGAAGGACTTGTGCTCCAACTGTTTCAAGTCCAAGGAAGAGCATGGAGGAGGAGGAGGAGGGGGTGAAGGAGTTAACGATGGAGGGCACAAAGATGATGATATAGGCTTCTCCAGAAGCAGGAATGGCACGGAGGGCGGTGGTGGAGGTGGATCCAGGCGGTATATGGGTGTCGCCGGCCGGGTATACCAGAGAGGCTACTACAATAACAATTGGAAGTCTATCATGATCGACAAGTCAGACTCGGCGCTCGGGTCGCCCGAGATCATGAGGAGCGTGTCAAAACTGGTGAGTCAGGAGAACCAGAAGAATCTCATGCTGAGCGACATGGTCACTTCGCAGGAGAAGGAAGGTCTGCGAAGTTCTCGGTTGGTTCAGCAAGTGAAGACGTCGCAGAGCGAGGCCAGGCTTCTTACCGAGCTCCTGGGCGATAAGAACGAAGACGAGGAGAAGAACGAGAAAGAGGAGAGCAAGTACAAAGAAGACAGAGGGGATGTGAGTAGTGATCTGGGGTCGGAGGCGAGTAATGATGGCAGTAGCACTTCTTCGCCGACCTCGACTTGCTCGTACCAGGTGTCCTACTCCGCTGTCAACAGTGACACTTCTTCCCTGGAGAGTGAGGGAGGCAGTGACAACTTCGGGGAGGACAAGATGGAGGACACCCGAGTTAAAGAGGACACCCATTCACCCACACCATCCCCCCAACGCTCTCCAGTGAGCATCCTAAAACATTCCGGAGCTCCGAAGGGCAAGCGCGGATCCATAACCTTCAATCCAAAGTTGGAGGAAATTATTGGTTATGGCGGCGACGTGGACTACGATGACGATGACGACGACATCGAGGACGATGACGATGACTACGATAAGTTAGCAGATCTGACCCCAGACGAGCGGGCCTTGAGACAATTAACGGACAAGAACACAGAGTTCAATTCAGACAATGATAATCTGAAAAAGGACATTGATGAGCTGCTCCCGTCCGTCGAAGAACTAGAAGAGAAGAGGAAGATGATCATTGCAGAAATTGAGGCACTGGAAAAACTGGGGAGGGAAAATCGACTGAAGAATGAAAAGGCAAAGCAAGAAGAGAAAAAAGACGACAAACAGGAAGCTAAAGTGAAGCTGAAACGCTCTCCACCGTTGGTCTCAACGAAGCCGCTGATCGCTAGAAATAACAATGACCTTCGCGTCAACCAGGTCCTTCCTATGAAAAACGGCGAAGTGGTCAGAACGGGAATCCCGGAGGACGGTGAAGAGGTCCCTCTGAAGGGCATCAAACCTAAGTACGTCGCCAGGGAGGATGAGATGGTGGAAAAGTCCAGCGTGTTAGAAGGGGAGCTGAAAACCAACATGGGGAAGATCACTTCTATTGACGAAGTGTTTCTCCAGGAGCAGACAAAGAAAGTCAAAGTTACCTCTATAGACGATATGTGTGTACCGGTCGTGGATGAAACAGTCAAGTCAGCAGAAGTAAGGCAGGAAACTCAGGTGAACACTGTGAATATTGACGACAGTCAACATGATGAAACACAGGAGGATATTGCTGTTGAAACGTCATTTAATTCAGATTGTGAAAGAGAATCATCACCATCATCACTGTCACCACCATCACTATCACCATCATCGGATCTTGGAACGCCATCTCCTGTGGCACCAAGTGAAGGTACTCCATCTCACAAGGTACAACAAAATCAAAATACTCTCAATAAAGATGTAGACAGTGCCAAACCCTGTACACTCACCAAGGGAAGTTCTTCTGCAGTTGGCAGTGAAACAGAAAATCCAACTAGGAAGGCCCCAGTTTCATCCCCTAGAAAATCCCTGATGGGTCATAGTCAGCGACAAGCTACAAATGATCCAGTTCAGTTAACTACACCAGAAAATCCCAAGACCTCTCCAAAAGGGAGTCCTCCGGGAACTTGTAAGCCTCGAACAAGTCCAAACCTCACAGCAAGTAGCAAGTCCCCATCACCCATTGAATGCCACAAAAAAATAGAAACTTCTTCTCGAGGGGCTTCAGTAATTCCAGGAAATATGATCTTAAAATCTTCCTCTGCTTTAGTGCAGCAAAAATTATTTGATGATATAAAACCCGGAGTAGAGAGAGAACTTAATGTGGACTCCAAAACTTCAAATGGCAAAGATGAAGAAAAACTCGCCAAGCCACACTCGGCAGAAAGTTCAACAGAGGGCACAAGGAACTCTTCGAAACAAAGAACTGAAAGCCTTACACATTCCCAAGACCACAGTCATCAAGATACCTCTACAACACTTTCCAGCGAGTCGCTTCCGATACCGTCTGGAAATATAAGTAATCAGACAATTCAAGAGCCTTCCAGCAGCACTTATCAAATTCAACCAGAAAGTTGCAAAACCACAATAAATCAAGGTCTTCCCGAATCTTTCAGAGCACTGTCTAATCAAAATCTTTCAGAGACTAACAGAGTTTTACCCAATCAACGTCTTCCAGAAGTTCCCAGAAAACCTTCCTCGAATAAGAATAATCTAGAACTTAACAAAACTTCATCTAATCGTGACCTTCAACAATATACCTTAAGAACACCATCTAATTACAGTCACATACAGATTTCAAGAACTTTGTCCAATCAAATTACTTCAGATACTTTAGGGAACTTATCTGATCATAGTCACGCTGAAGCTTCAAGAACGCAATCAAATCAAAGTCTTCCAGGAACGTTTAGTGATCAGAGTCTTCCAGAAACCCCAAGATCTTCCTGCAGTGATCAGAGTCTTCCAGAAAACCCCAAAACTCCTGCAAGCCGACAAGGAAGCACATCTAGCCTTATGACGACCTTTGGGACGCCCATATTGATATCGACGACCTCGCCCCAGAACTCATTCCTTCACTCGTCTCCTACACGAAACATGTACGACGACACCTACAACTCTCCATCAGCCATGCATACTCAGGAGACTTCAGATTTCCTGCGGGATATAAAGTCGCAGCCAGAAGTTCCAACACCGACGGCAGGGATCCAGAAGTCGGCTCTGTATGCCTCGACGTCTTGTCTCAAGGGTCTTCCAGGAGCCAAACCTGTAATAACGCCCAAACCTCCAATATTGAGAGACAAACCCAAAGTACCTCTTAAGCCACCAGGAAGCAGGTCGAGGATATATGCAACGCCATCACCCATCACCCCAAAAGTTCCAATTGGGAACCTTTCAGGAGCTATTTCGACACCTAACCTCTCAACTCTACATGCGGAAGACAGGGCTGAAACGGCCTCCTCCGCATCAGGAGCTTTGGAGGCGTCTTCACCTTCACAGCCAGAAGGTAGACCGGGGCTTGTGTATAAATTGACTGCCGAGCAGAAAAAACCACCTCCAACCATGCAAGCGCCCTCAGTACCTTCCCTAGGTGGGCGGCACCCGGTGGAGGCAGTGTATGACGTCCCAGTCACGATAGTCTCAAGTGCTTCAACAACGAGAAACTCCTCTTCCTCCGGGTCGTCATGCGAGACGAAGCATGATGACGACGTCACCATTTACCACGAGATCGATGACAGTATAAAAGCAAACACAAACTGTGATATGGAGTTGGGTCAGGGATCCCTGGAGTCTCCTTTGGCGAGTCGTCAAGAGTCCACTAGACACCAGTCCAGGTCCACCTTCGAAGCGAACCGCTCCTTGCTCTCCGCCGCTTTGGATTTTGGTACCAAAGCCACAAGATCCAGCTCGAACAAGCGGTCCGCGCCTCGACCGCCTGCAGGGGAGGAGGAACAGGAGCACTTTGGACCAACAGAGACTTTGGAGGATACAACGCCATTGGTGACTCAGCTGTCTGTGCCTCTGGAAACCTCCTCTCCAAAAGAGGCGCACAGTGAGAGCCCACAGGAAACCTCTGCAGCAATTCAGGGGGACAGCAATGATGGTGAATCTTATTCCTCCTTTACCGACGACTTTGATGATGATGACGACGACGATGAGGAGGAAGAGGAGGGAGACGTAGAGCACCCGACCTTGAGGAAAGCTGAGAGGTCGTCTTCAGCTGTACCCTTCTACAGGAACTCCATCGGCGCCATCGGCACCAACGAGATTAAAGGTTAGTTGCACCTTCTGCTGCCTTGTCTTGTGTGGCATTTTCCTTAAATAAACTAAGTGTGGGCGGGGAAGTTAGGGATGGTTTGTTTGTTCGTATACATATATGTATATACTCACACCCACACATTCATCTCCATAGCAACATAGACCTGTGACCTCACTGTGTCTGGCCCCCCTCTTACAGCAATGTATGATTGCCCGAGTGCCCTGGGCATGATGAGTGCCTCCCCATTGGGCAGCCAGGTGTACCAGGTACCCAGCATGGTCCCCTCCGGCAGCCCCGTGCCCTGCAAACCCCTGGCAACCCGTTCTCACTCCGTGCCCCGCAACACCGACCACGTCGTCAATATGGCGCCAAACATGGCCGGGACTGGCTTTCACGCGCCAACATCTTCCTCCTCCTCCAAATTCAGCTTCGGTAGATCTGGTGAGTTTGGCGAAGATGTTTTTGTTGGGTTTTATCAGGTGGTAGTGGATGAGATTTTATATGTGTATAAATGTTGACCAGACCACACACTAGAAGGTGAAGGGACGACGACGTTTCGGTCCGTCCTGGACCATTCTCAATCGACTTGAAAATGGTATTAAGATTTAGTCATTAATGTTTTTCATGCCCGAAACGCTTTGCGTAATAGTGGCTTTAGGCATTATATGTACTAGCTCTATCTATAATTCCATCAATCTTTGTAAAATCTCTTATATGTATGTACCTTACCTAAATAAACATTTATTTATTTATTTATTTATTTATTTATTTATAATGGTCCAGGACGGACCGAAACGTCGTCGTCCCTTCACCTCCTAGTGTGTGGTCTGGTCAACTTACTTTAGCCACGTTATTGTGACTCATCGCCTGCATGTGTGTAAATTTTTATTTTATTTATTTTATCAGTGTGCCGAGTAGCGTGGTGGAAGCGAGTACTGTATTCTGGAAAGGATGATAGGGTGTAAGGATTTATCTAGCATGGATCAGTAGGCCTACTGCATTGTTCTCATGTGATGTCCTGTTCTCTTTCTGTAGGGTTCTTCCGGCCAGCGTCGCCGCCGACGGCGAAGCGAGACTCCAGTAGCGACAGAGGAAGAGACCGCAGTAACAAGAAGACCTCGTCATCGAGGTTCTCACTGAAGAAGCTGCTGCGTCTTGGAGGTGGCGGCGGGAAGGATGAGGAGCGACGGGCAGTCAAAGAGCAAGAGAAGCGGCTGGCTAGGGATGCCAAGAAGGGCAGACTTACCATCATCCACCCGCTCGATTACAATCAGAATGGTGTCCAGGTATGATATGTCTACCTTCTGTTTGCCCTTGTTCAGCCCAAGCACTTGGAGTGGACGGTAGAGCGACAGTCTCGCTTTATGCAGGTCGGCGTTCAATCCCCGACCGTCCAAGTGATTCGGCACCATTCCTTCCCCCCCGTCCCATCCCAAATCCTTATCCTGATCCCTTCCCAGTGCTATATAGTCGTAATGACTTGGCGCTTTCCCCCTAATAGTTCCTTCCTTGCCCTTGTTCATTCAGCAGTAATTTGGGTCCTGATTAAGATTTGCGGGTCGTGTTCCAGGGAAAACCAGTACAGTATTAAGGCACAATAACATGAGTTATGGAAAGGAAACACTATAATCCTGCTAAAACAGGATTTATTAGTCGTCTACTATTCTCATGCATGTGTATATACAAGTATAGTTTACATATTATCATTTAGGAACAACAATGAGGCGATTCTCAATGGAAATTTTATTGTGTGTGATGTTCCATGTGTCAGGTGATCGCGCGGCCGGAGAAGACGTCGCCAATATACGACTACACAGGCATCTATGGCTACATCCCTCCACCCCAGCTGAGTGCCAAGCTGGAAGACCCCAGCGCCTCGACCATACAGGTGAGTTCCTGTTCTGGGGCCAGATTCACGAAAGCACTTACGAACCTGTACATCTTTTCTCAATTTTTGGCGGCTTTGTTTACAATTATTAAACAGTTAATGAGCTCCGAAGCACCAGGAGGCTGTTTATAACAAAAGAATGACCATGAGTAGTTTGAGAATAACAAGGCGGTGTGTTGCAGGCATCTCCCGCTCCATCACTGGCCAGCAAGAGGTCCGAGGCCTCCCACGGCTCGTCCTCCCTGGGGGGATCCAGCGTGACGGTGCCTCCTGCTGCCTCTCTACCTCTGGGGTCCGTAGCCACCACCATTAACACCACGTCTGTGAGCCTCACCACGCCCATCACCATACCCATGACTGTGTCAGCGTCAGCCTGCACCAGTAGTCCCCTGGTGACGGCCACCACCACAACCGCTGCCGCCTCGCCCCTGCAGAAGAACAGCTCCTTCCTCAGAAGAGTGAGTGTTGCCACAGTTGCTCCCAGTTCGTACATAAGGCAGTTCACCAACACATTATTTAGTAAGAAATGTAAACCCAACCTCAGTGTTAATTGCTTTTACAGTATGTCATGTTTGTCCCAAGAACCTAATGAAGATCATATTGTTCATTAGTATATATTCCATGGCATAGGTTTTATCAGTGCCATGGTGTAGGTTTATAGGATGCCAATCCTGATCTTAAAAGCTTCATAGAAGGTTGTAACAGAACCCATGAGCACCACACCAGAAATAAATACAGTTTTGATATTCCTAGAGTACGTCTTAATCAAACTAGAAATGCTCTGCAAATCAAGGGGCCCAGAATGTGGAATGACCTTCCCAACCATGTTAAAGACTGTACCTCTCTCAACCAGTTTAAGATAAAAACTAAACACTACCTAATAAATTCCCTGTAATCTACCTCACTCCTCTATTGTCAACCCATGTCTGTTATTTTCTTTTTTTTTTCTTTTTTTTTAATCAACACTGTTTGTCAACCTATTGTATTTGTGCTGCTTTTTCAGTCATGTTCCCCCTTTTTTTTATCTTTATTTGTATTTGTTCTCAACATCTTTTATTCTTTATGCTCAATTAGTATTAAGTTCTAGATATTAATGTTTTTCTTGCCCGAAACGCATTGCGTAATAGTGGCTTTAGGCATTGTATGTACTAGCTCTATCTATATATCAATCCATTAATTTAACATCACTTGTATGTATATACCTTACCTGAATAAACATCTGAATCTGAATCTGAATCTGAATCTGAATAAATTCCTTAACTCGGTGACAGGCACCAGTTTGTGAGCGATGTTACATCTACCTGACGGCCACTTGTTCCACTCCTCTCTCATACATCAATGACCATGCAGATGCCATGCAATGCCTTAAGTCAATACTATTTGCTAATGATAACTATACTTCCTCGATCTCTTGCTTGTGATTGAGCGCTCCGTGTGATGTTGCAGGAGTGTGGTGTGGAGCGTCGGGAGTCTGGGACCAGCTTCACCAGCACCTCTTCCCCACACCACCACCTTGGCTACAACTCGGAAGGTTAGTGCTGCTGCAGTCTTATTTGGCCAAATCAGTCTTCCTTAATTTTCTTTATAATTTATTACATGTGCAATTTTATGCATTTATACTGTAAATATAAGATGATTAGCTTAAGAGACTGTAATTGTCATTGTACCCATTGTTGATGCATTAATCTGTGTAACTAGCTTATCAAGAGTGTAACTTGCTTAGGTAAATGAATTTTGGGGTACAGTTCCTGAGCCCATGATGTGCTGCTGTAACTTTTTTTCACCTCCACCCACAGGGTGAGTATTAGGTGCATGATGAACAAAATATCTCTGCTGCAGCAGTAAAAAATGCAAACTAAATCCTAGGAATAGTCAAACCAAATTTTGACTTCAAGGAAAAGAAGGCAGCTGTACAACTACATAAAACTCTGGTGCACCCACACCTGGATTGTTGTAGCCTAACATGGAAAGACACATCTCCTTTGGGAAGAGTTCAACACCAGGCGACTAAAATCATAGTAAATTGAGTATATGAACTAAGTTGACTCTCATACCAGGAACAGTTGAGGGCCACAAGACTAACAACACTGCAAATCAGATATGACACTGCTGACTTTATAGAGACTTAAAATACTGAACAATTTGGAGGATATTGATCCAGACCACTTCTTCGAATTGTCAGATGCAACATGAACAAGGAGCAACAGTTTCGAGCTAAAGCCACAATGTAGGATGGAAAACAGGAGCTGCCTTTTCACCCATACTGTACTTTTAAACCCAGACAACCGTCTACCTGCCAAAGGCATAAATGCCAAAGCGCTGCCAAATTTCAAAATCCAGCTGGACAGAAATGGAACAAATGGTGGGGTGGAAGGGGGGGGGGGGGCCTTCAACAAGCCGCTGGCTTCTTGTCCTCGTCGAGGCCACTAGAGTAGTGATCCTTGGGTAAATCCGGTAACTTGTTCAATATAGCCAAGCCAATCCAAGGCACACTCCATACATGGTTCTGAGAGTATTCATATCTGTCTTAACTCCTGATTTTTGCTATGCTTATACAACACCAGAATGTGTCATCCTTAGTGCGCTTCAGGTAAGATGGTATCACTCATTCATGGGTTACTCTAGAGCTGCATATGTCATATTGTTCTTAACCAGAACTTTTATGACACCAATCACTTCCTCGCCTTGCTTTACTCTGTTTTGCTTGCACAAATTACTCTCTTGTCAATCAGAAATGCATTGAAACTTAAAATCCACTTCTAGCCCCATTTCCCTGTTTATCCTAGCAACTCCACAACCACTCTGTCTGTTCAACATTGAAAAAACTACAAGAACATTCCTTTGTAGAAAATGTTCTTCTTACTGAAACACTATGCAATTCCTATAAATCTTCATTCATATCACAAGCATGTCTGGTCTCACTCTACCCCCAGCTGTTCCCCCATGTAGTATGGATGTAGTGTGTCAACCTACATGTTCTGTAGGTCTAGCAGAAGCCTCACACATTTTTTATTCAATTATGGAGTTCGTTTCTCACTTGCATGACTATTCTCAAGATTATGAATTTAGTGGAAAGTGAGTGGGGTGAGGGGCAACACGACATTCCCGCCATCAAGCCAACAATGGCTGTGATTGTGGGAGCAGCTTCCCCACGGCCAGCTGTAGCCCGTGACGCCCTGCCATTCTCACTAGTTTTAATAATGGTTTAACGTTTGCTACTACTCTATAATCTTTGTGGAATGTTGCTGTATGCTGATTTTCACTTTCTCATCTCATTAATCCATTACCATGGATATGTTATTTAACGTCATTCATATTGTATTTTTATCAGGGAATATACTTTGATATGTTTCTAGTTTGCATAGTTTGAATTGTGATCAAACTGTGCCACAATACTGTGCCACACATTGGCATGTGAATTACCTGCTTAGTTTAGGGGTGGTGCAACCCATTAGTAGAAATATGTGAATTGTTTAAATCTGGTATGCGTGTTCCTTTGGTTTATTCAATATTCTTTATTGATTTAGGGTTAGGTAGCATCCTTGAAGTTAATGGAACTTCTAATGTTCCTTTGTTCAAAGTGTCGGTGGCTGGTATCTCAAACCTGTATCCAAATTGCGTCATATATGATGCATTGGGAATGTAAAATGCATTTATGCTGCTGCCTAGCTAGGAATTATGGATCTCAATTACAAGTTTTTATTATTGACTGACATTAATTAAAGTTTAAAACACTAACAACATGGATTTCTTATTTTAATTGGGGACTGTTGTCTCGATAACTAATTCAAGAACTATTTCTTACAACATTGGAAAGCCAATCTCATTATTCAGAGAGAGAGAGAGACAGACAGACAACTCATCACACGTTGTCTGGACAAGGTATTGCCTGCTCTACATCACACCTGTAACACACATTCCCTAGTATCACATCCCTGACGTTGATGCCCTACTTGCAAGGGGATCTTGTCAAGAGTCTTGAGTGTTACAAATGTACTAAAGAATATTTTTTTGCACTTGAGAGTTCACAGCTTAAACAAAAACACATGCTCACCCAACATATATTTAAAGTAATTTATTTTGTTATCTTTTAATATCTGCATTAAATCTATAATTAATTGATGTTTTTATGATAATCTTTCTAGAACGTTAAAGTTCTTTGTTTCAACTAGTGTCCAAAGGTGCTTTTATTCCTCTTGACATTCAAATGCTGTATCGTATCTACTCTCAAAGCTGTGTATGGAGAAAGCTTTCACTACCACCTCTTCCAGTTCATGCCACTTGCTGCCTTCCCTCACTATACCTGCTTGATGGGGTTCTGGGAGTTCTTCTACTCCCCAAGCCCGGCCCGAGGCCAGGCTTGACTTGTGAGAGTTTAGTCCAACAGGCTGTTGCTTGGAGCAGCCCGTAGGCCCACATACCCACCACAGCCCGGTTGGTCCAGGCATTCCTTGGAGAAAATGATCTAGTGTTTTCTCTTAAAGATGTCCACGATTGTTCTGGCAATATTTCTTATACTCGCTGGGAAGATGTTGAACAACCGTGGACCTCTGATGTTTATACAGTGTTCTCTGATTGTGCCTATGGCATCCCTGCTCTCCACTGGTTCTATTCTGCATTTTCTTCCATATCATTCACTCCAGTATGTTGTTATTTTGACTGTGTAGATTTGGGACCTGTCCCTCCAGTATTTTCTACTTGTTCCAACCCTCTACCACTTGATTTGCAAAATAAAACTTTCTAATATTTTTTCAGCACTTTTGTTTCCTTAGCTTAAATCTATGACCCCATGTTCTTGAAGTTGCTGATTTCAAGAATTTCTTTGGTGTGAGGGGGGTGCCATTTTATTGTATTTTTTATTTCATTATCTATGTAGTGAACAGTCTAAGCATTCATAAACACTATATCATTCAATATCTGTGTTGTTTTCAGGCCGACCCAAGCCCCCTCCACCCCCAAGAAAGGTCTCCCTGGAGGGTGTGCAAGCAGGCGACTTATACTCCACCCTGTCTGACTTGACACCCTCCACATCGTGTGACCTGACCCACGCACGCCTTCATGACCACTCCTCTACTACAGACATGCCTGCACGCCCACAACGTCCACCCCCACCAACTCGTACACTCAGCAATGCTGGTACCAAAGCTGGCCCGCCCAGGCCAGAACCACCCAAGTTGACCAAGGACTCTGTCTATGCCAACCTTGGTGAGTAGATTGTGTGCTAAATTCATTTTGTTGGGGGGGACAGGAAACCTGTGTACATGCATATATACTTACATATTTACATACACAATGGAACCTCGGTTTTCGAATATTTCGGTTCTTGAGCTCAATTTCTTTGAAAAATTCAACCCGGTATTCGAGGTTTGCCTCAGTGCTCGAGTTTGTTGTTACACGTATGGGCTGACTGAGCACATGGTGTGCTTCAGTCTCCCACCTAGTTGCTTGAATTCTTTGTGAAGAATTTCATTGTTTTTGTGCTTTTTTTGGTTTCTGAACCTAAGTTATTATATCATGTTATGGGTTCCAAGAAAGTCAGTGGTAAAGTTCAACCTAAGAAAAAATAGTTGAGGATGAAGCTAGAGGAAAAATAAGTGAACATTCATAGTGAGACAATGTGAGGTCTTGCTAGAGACAAGTGTTAAAATGTAGCAAAAAAAGTGTCTTATAGACAGATTCTTAGTAAGACAAACAAGCGGCAAGCCACAACCAGGTCCTAGTGGTATGTCTTTAAAACGTAAGAGAGAGTACCCCAGAAATGTCATCACTGCCTGATGTTTTAATGGATGGGGACTCCCCTTCCAAACACTAACACCTATCTTCCTCACCGTCTTCCATACGGCAACAAGAATCTTGAATAAAGGTTAGATATACAGTACTTTGTACATACTGTAGTACAAAATATTAGTAGTATGTACAAAATATTTTTTTTAAGTTTATATTTTTGGGGTTTTGAATGGATTAATTCAATTTACATTACAGTATTTCTTATGGGAAAATTTGTATCGGTTTTCAAATTTTCGGTTTTGAACTACTGACTCTCCCCAGAATGCAACCCTACAATAATTAGCTAACTGTCTGGTACCTATTTACTGCTAGGTGGACAGGGGCATGTTGATGTAACGCTCGAGGATAGGATAGCTGTTTGTATTGAGCAAGAGCAGTGGTGAGACTGACTGTGTATTCAGAGATGTGCAGGGGACGAGAAAAGCCTTCGTGTTTGCCGAGGAAGGTAGAAGTCATTTCAATGTTTGAGGAAGGAAGGAGCGTTTGTTTGATGCTGGAGGGAAGGAAGATGTGTTTAAGGGGTGAGGTGTGTGTGTGATTGTTACAGGGAAGGACCTTCCCCGCTTTACTGACCTTCCCCAGTATGCAACCCACAACAGTTGTGTATCTCCTGGGCATCTATTTACTGCTAGATAAACAGAGGAATAAGATGGAAGGAAACGATTTAGTGACATTGCCCATGGGGTGGATAAAGGCAGATAAGTTAGCATGAGTGGATCACGAAAGAGGGAACATTGGTTGAAACTGGCTCAAATGAGCCACAGAGACATTAGAAAGATTTTTTCAGTGTCAAAGTTGTTAACAAATGGAATACATTAAGCAGTGATGTGGTGGATGCAGACTCCATACACAGTTTCAAATGTAGATATGATAAAGCCCAGTAGGCTCGGGAATCTATACACGAATTTATCGACTGTTTAGAGGAGGCCCACAAGCACAACTAGGCAAGTACAACTAGACGAGTACTGCCCTACAGGACCCAATTATCGGTATGGGATCGGCTGATATCTCTTTCCTTCTATTTGCTAGTTTTAACATGTTTAATACCTGAAGTCTTTCCTCAGTTGTTTTTTAAATCTGGAAATCATTTGGTAGCATGTCTTGTACCTTCTGTGTTTTGTTCAGATATGGACACCATAAAATTGCTGCATGTTCCAATTTTGGTCTCGTGACTGTAGTAAATAATTGTTTGTCTTCCTCCTTCCATGTATTTAAAAGCAATTTTGAGGTTTACAAGTGTAGTGTAGTGTAGTGTAGGCTCCTCACACACAAGGCCATAAATGTGCTCTGCCTGTGGTAGTTTACTGTCCAGATCCATCATGAATTCTACTTTGTCCAAGGTAAGTTATAGGTTATTTACGGACTTGTATTGACATGTGTGGTAACAGTGAGTCAAGTATCATAAGTGTGTGTGTGTGTATATATATGTGTAGCACAGCCACTCAGCAGTCAAGCCTGACCCATTGGTGTTGTATTTCAGGGGATGTCCGTGCCCCTTTCACCCCACGCAAGCCAGGGAGGACAGCCAGCATCCGGGGTGAGGACGATCGTGAGAAGAGAAGAGCGCCACAGCCACCACAGCTCCTTCAGGTTAAAACAACCTCACCCCTTTTCCTTGTCTAGGCAAATTAACCCTTTTGAAATGATGGTTTACGTAATCTTTCTAACTCTGAACTTATGTCATAAATTTTTATTAGCCATAGAAATTACAATGGAACATTGTGTAATGTGAACACCCAGTCAGGGGTGAGTTTAAATATACAAACAAGATAACTATATGGTCAATTACACTTCCATTTAAGACAGTAGGGTAATTCAATTTTATATAAAACTAATTGGTCATTCTACCTTGAATTTGCTCTATCGTAGTTCTGGGGATGACCACTCTAGTGGGTAATTTTTTCTCTGGGCTGGTGCCTTCCCACCCAATGACTGGGAGACTAGGTAGTAATAATAATAATAATAATAATAATAATAATAATAATGAATGAATGTTTCAAAATAAGAAGTTCAGGGAAGACGTCTTGGGAGCTAATTACCGCAGATCAGTTTATTATATGATAACTGTGGACTCACATGTAGTTCCTTGCAGCAGGCTGCACAGGAAGCGGCTCAGCAGGCTACACAGAGGCTGGGCAGACACCAGAAGCAGGACAGCACCAGTAGCAGTTGCAGCAGCATGAGCAGTGCGAGAGCAGCTAAGGGTCCAGCACCCGCCCGACCACAACACCTCGCTAGTGATGACTACGACACGACGGGTTCAGATGATGTCAGTGTTGTCAATGTAAGTCAGGTGTGTCTTGGTGCTTTTCCTAACTTTATTTTTGCTCTCTGATACCCATTCTGTGTGTCTGAAATAGTAGTAGTTAAGCTAGATTTTATAACTAACAGCAATGTAGATTAATATTAATATAGTATTGTAGAATAAAAGATAATGCCTTCAACTTTTGCTATGTTACTGTAGTTAATTTCTTAGCTTTATATGGCTTTAATTGAGACTGTATGATAGTACTGTATTTGCATTTCCAAATTTAGCATTAACCATAACTTAGATTCTCGTTATTTAATTTGCTTGACCACCATATTGTACTGGCTTGTTCCTCTGATGCTTAATCTCCTCTTATCATTTTCTTGCTACTTCAATGTCTTCACTTAGTTGTCCTCGCCTTTCCTTCTACTTACTTTGTACTGTATGTCACTTTCTTATGTTCTCTGGTTTCTGTAGTAGTTTGCACTTCCATTCTCTGTGACCTTGATTATATAATCTTTTAATACAAAGATTTTGTTTTTGCTTTGCTGCCGTTGTACTTTAACCAGAGAACAAAAAGCTATCATCTTTGACATGCTGCTTTCACCTCTTTGCAATTTTTCAATTGACCACTCTTGCCTGTCCACTTCCTGTAGCATAGAAATAACTTCTTTGCCCCCTTGCAATCCCGTAGAAAAATTGGCTATTGTGCTCTAACTGCACTAACACCTGGCAGCGTGGTGGTGGGTTGCGGTCATCGTCGCCAGTGCTTTACGACACTCCTCTTCCTCCAGAGGCACGACCCAAATCTCCTCAAGACGTCCAGACTCCTGATGGATACATTATTCCAGCACAGCTTCCCTTGTCTACTGTGGTGAGATGCTAGGAATGCTGATTAAAACATAAATATTATACAGTTGCACAGTGTCTATGGCCACATATAAGGTATAACATGCATTGACACATGGACATTCAAGAGACCATGGTATACCATGGTGTCATTACAGTTGAATGCAGCTAATGATACACATTTATTGTTTAAGTAAACAACGATAGCAAGTTCAATTGTGGACAAAATAATGTGGTACTGTATAACTCGGGAAATTTTGCACAATATACTGTATAGTATGTGTGTGTGTGTGTAATATATCTATTGAGGAGCAATTGAGTGTTCTGAGTTTGAATCCCGGGTGGGAGAGAATGGCTGGGCACATTTCCTATCACCTAATGTCTTTGTTCACGTAGCAGTAAACAGGTACGAAGAAGTTAGTTAGCTTGTTGTGGGGTTGCATCCTGGAGAGGGTCTGTAATTAGACCCTAGGGGAGACCTTCATATAAGCCTAACATGTACCTTATATATAAACTGGCTGCCTGTCCCCTGACAATGAATTATTATTATCATTATCGATGTATGTGTGCGTGTCTGTATGTACCATATATAAATACACGTAATGTGTACCAGTACTATTACATTTTACTATTGTTTACTTTATTAAACAGTACAGAAGCACCTGATTTCCTCATAGTACCCCACCAGTGTTATTAGCTGCAGTATTATGTCACATTTACCCAAGAATTATTGTACTGGTTCATATAAGCACCATCATATCTAACATGTGGCTCCTTCATATAATTTCTCATTGTCACCACCTTGCAATGTGAAATACTATCATTACGTTGAATCGTATAGCAGTACTGTACTAGTACAGTAAATGCATACATGTTAGCTAGAATATATCTGCTAGTTTCATGCAATTTAAGATTGATTACACTGCTAAATCACTGCAAATTGTCATTATATTGTCTGATCATTATGTTTAAAAACTTGTCCAAAATGCTGTGTATTGGTCGCTTTAAAAGAGCATACCGTTACTAAACCTATCACGTTATTTAATTTGTTGTTATCTGCTGTACTGTATTAATGAGAATGTACCTGTACGCAAGTTTAATACCTGCTTGATGGGGTTCTGGGAGTTCTCCTCTCAGCTTGGGGAGTAGAGTCAAGTCTCTCAAAGTCGAGAGTATCTCAGAGTCAAACTCTCAAGTTAAACCTGGCTTGACTTGAGAGTTTGGTCCACTAGGCTGTTGCTTGGAGCGGCCCGCAAAAAGTGTTAAAAAATATACAGCAGTTTCGGAAGTGTTGCACTTGGGAATTAACAAGTATGGAGGGGTGAAATACTATAGAAAAATGGAGGCAAGGTTGAAGATTAAAAAGCGAGATGCCAAACCACCTCGGGCATCTACGACTGGCTCCTTAACAGAAGGAACTGTATCATAGTAAACAATAGGCTTTTTGCCTAAACTGTGTTTAGAATACAAAAAAATACTAAATGTTACTTTATCATCTTTTTACTTGTAGGTAACACAGATAGCTGTAGGAGCATCAACCTGTACCTTGACATCTTCCTCGTGTTACAGTGAAGATGTGTACCAAACACCCAGGCGAGGCTATCACGTGAGTCAAAACTGACCATTGCTTAATATACTGAAGAGAAACGTTAAGAGTAAATTTGTTAAGAGTTAATTTGTAACATGCATTTTGCATGCAAGGGCTTCATCAGATACACACGTTGTGCTTATAAAGAGAAAAGAATGTACCTCTTTATCTCAACATTGTTGCCAGCACTTTGTTCTGTTAAACCATAAATTAATATATCTTGTGCTCACAGTACTGTACTGTAGTAGGTAAATGCCCTAAGCTTTGCTGGCAAAAGGCCCTAAGCTTTGCTGGCAAAAGGCCCTGGGCTTGGCTAGTCGAATGCTCTGAGCTTGGCTAGCCAACGGTTCTGGGCTCGGCTAGCCAAATTTTCTGGACTCGGCTAGCCAAATGTTCTGGGCTTGGCTAGCCAAATGATGTATTTTACCACTGCACCATTGGGAATTGTTACTTCACAGTAACCATTGTACTTCACACATTCTTCACTAAAAATCTACACACTCTTTCCCATCTCTGCCCCCACAAATATCACACATACACACAAACACACTCACACACTCTTGTGTAGCTGCAAGAGTATTGCAGGTCACCCATCTGATCATCAGAACATCACCCCATTGCTCCCTTTGCACACCTTTCCCTTCTCACCACATCACTTTAGTCATTCACATTATCTGCATCACTGTTACCAAAAGGTTGGGCTCGGAATGCAAATTTGTCATCTAAACATTCGTTTTGCATGTCGGTATCTGAATACGTTATTGAATGCTAAAATCTACAGGCTTTGGTGACACATTTCATATCCACTAATTTCATGAGAGTAGCATAGAATTAGACCTCCCTTCAAAGGGCGAGGATGTGGGCCAACCCTGACCTCCCCGAGACACACTCCATAAAATCACTCATAAATCTGCAAAGTTTAATGAGGCTAACCCAAAATGTCTGGCCTCCAACCTTGGACAGACACTCACACATTCTCATTTACAGATGTAGATAGGTGAGGAGATTAATAAGTGTCATTGACTAAACACGAGAGTTGTCTTGCAGATAATGGGTTAAGAAATTATATGCCTGCAGAGTTGCACATCACCTACATGCTATGGACTGTGTAATATTATAATCCATAAAATAGGTTTATCATGGAGTATTTTCCTCCCATTCAAGTATCAGTTTTGCCTATTAGATAAAGTCTAGGACAGAGCTAGATACTAATGAGATGCAAACTTGCTGCATCCTATTCATTGCCAGTTCAAACTATCCAACACAAGCGGTGGCTTATGTGTGTTTACAGTATGTTACAAATTAAAGAAAATGAATCCTTTCATTACAGCTATCAAGAAAAAACTACCTAACAATTGGTGCTGTAATTTGGTTATAAATTATTATTGCCATTCACATGAATAGAGCAGTTTCAATACTCATAGTATTTAAATTAGGGAAATGATTGATTGAACTGATTTTGGCAACATGCTGGTGACTAAAACAGTGTTCTGCTTCACATTGTCGGGGACAGGACGCCTGTTAAGGTTGACATGTCCCACTAGGCCAACTACTGACCTTTCCTTGAATGCAACCCAACACTTGCCTGTCTCCCAGGTACCTATTTATTGTTAGGTGAATAGATCATGAGGTTAAAGGAAACTTGCCCAATAATGTTTGTCCTACACAGGAACTGGACCTAAATCTTGTCAGTTATGATCCAACCCCACTGATCACTGTGCTACAGAATCCTATCTTACATTTTATATATGTACTGTATAGCTAATGGTACAAAACTATAATAAATTTAAAGAATAATACAGTAATTTGTTAAGATACATCTGTACAGTATACTGTACTGTACATTGCTACAGAAAACATGAAGGTGAAAAAATCCCACACATGCTGACAGCAACTTGGTGAAACAGACGAGAGTAGACCATTTGTGGATGTGCAGTGTTCCATTAAACTGCTCCCGTCCTTTAGATACAGACGGTGCTCGAGTCACCTGTGCGAGATGTAATGTGCCTCATGATATTTGAAACTCCTGAAGATTCTATGCGGATATAATTATATATTGGAGATCTGGCAATCATTTGCCATACTGGGGAAAAAATCTAAAAGCTTTAGTTGCTTTCCTGGGCATTATTACAAAAGTTGCATCAGTTTGGTGCCATGAACGTGCCATGAAATTGACCTGAAAATCAGGGGGTGAGCAGTTTGAGGGTTAAGGGCTTTCTGAAGCCCCTAAATAAGGTCTACTCTTATTGTGTTGAGCCCACATGTTATGTTAGGAAAAAGAGGAAATATTTAAGTTCTAGAAGACTAGAATTTTAAAACTTATGACTGACATCACATCTGTTACATACAGTATTCATATTGTTTAAATATGGCACAGTAATGTTTTTGAAGTTAAAGATGCACTTTGAATTGTATGAAGATTTATCATGGGATACATGACTCATATTTACATAAATTTAAATACCGTGTATGTATATTAACCGTGTGTAAAATCTGAAGTTATATGGAGATAATTTAACTGATGGGAATCTATTTTTATTCTAAAACTAACATCTGTTGTTATTGCAGATTGAAGATACAACCTCTGCGCTGTCTTCACGCCAGGAGAAGACGGGTCGTCTGAGTGTTCGGCGTACTTCGGCAATAACACACCGAAGTCTGGAAGACCAGTACGGTGCTGTAATCTCTGCTAACCTTGAGGCGCTCTCTAACATGCTAGATCAAGTAAGTATGACTTCATATCTTTCAACATGTCTTTTCTTATACACTATATTTAATGTAAAGCAATATTATACAGTACTAGTACAGTATTTAAAATATTTTATTAGATTCAATTTTATAAGATCAGTTGTATTAGTATTACATTCTAAGGACATTACCCACATGTTACATTTCAGTTGTGTAATAATTGTTGCCCCGCGGGGTATGAGGACATCACTTCTGGAGTGTCTCGATGGGAAGATGTCGCTATAGATGATGACATAATTGTAGGAGCTGGGCACCGACTCTTTTATGTTGGAGAAGTACGTGGCCGTGAGGTTATTCTGATGCTTACACCTGAAACTAAAGTAGACGCTCATCATCTGTTGACACCTATGCCCCTTGCTACCTTTAAAGATGAACTACCCAGCCACCTGCTCTCTCACAAATATATTACAAGAGGAAAGTCAACGCATGGTATGTACATTACCACCATGTTGAGAAATCTTGCGTAAGATTTGTCCTCTAGTATTGTATAATGAACTACTGCAAGTTAAGCATTACATAGATACAGTATTCCAATTAGAAATATAAGATACTATAGATATTTTAACAATTAACTCTCGGCAGGTACAGTATGGGTTTTACCACTTCTAAGTTTAACAACTTTGAGGACAATAGCAGAGGAAGATGTTCCACAGTTATCAAGTGTTCCAGCAGAGTGGGAACGCAACACTTGCCTATTACTACTTCAGTTAGTCACTGGTCTTAAGCAGCTGCAAGCTCAAGGTGTCGAGGAAACCTGCATTGATTTGACCCTTGTTGTTCGAGGAAGCCAAACAAAGGGACAGGACTGTGATCCCAGATTAATACTTGTACCTCCTACAGAAACTGGTGAGCAACATTAAAATGAATTAACTTTTTTAAATATTACACAAAAAAATCATTGAAATGATTTCCTTTACATGTAGTTTTACTTTTCTGTTGCTTCCTAATACTTCTGCTCTTTCAATTTAATAATCATTTGCACTAATGTTCATTTGATTAATAACTGTAATTACTAAGAGGTTCAAGACATAACAGCATGAAATTAAGACAATTTGCATTGGCCTGCTTAAAATGATATTGGATATTGAAAATGATACATAAACTACGAGGCATTAGGCTATTTGTTTGTACTGGAATAAGAATAAAGTTAGCTTATGAGCTAGGGGGAAGTTATGTTGATTTAGCTGGGAATAAAAAGATTGTACAACCCTTGCTACAGAAAGATATTACTGGCACAGAAATCTGTAACAATCCATTTATTACTGTAATTTCAGGAAAGCTACAATGTTGTACCTTGATTTTTTAAGCTCGCAAATTCATTGTACAGTATGTATTTTCATATATGCATGTAAATTTTGCTCAAGTGTTGAAACGTTTCTTTACCGACATCATCTATATAAAAGAATTTCCGTCTATATGGGGTTGTCACACTTTTTTGGTGGGGGATAGCACAGCCCAACTTTGCAGAGTGAATGGACTTAGGGTACGGGACAGACATAGGCCAGGGGGAAATGAAATGAAAGAAATTGCAGATAGATTTTCTGTAGTTTGTTTAATTCCCCCGTTTACTCATGCATTTTCACGATTTATTAAAAAATGAACCGAATTCATATTTTTAACTGTTCAAAGTTGGAGGCCAGATGGAAAATGGAAGGGATTGAAGGTAGAGAGGAGGTTAAAAGGTGGAGGGGCTGAAGACGGGGTTGGTGATGTAAGAAGAGGTAGGGGAAGAGACTATCACAAAGTACCCCCAGGTTCCCCTTCCAGTATAAATATTTAGCATATACATTTTCCTTCATGGCTTCTGGCTCAATTTTTTTTCCTACATATGACCTATAACTTTTTTTCTATTACAGGTTCTTCCCTAATGTCCCTGTGTGAGTGTGCAGCAGCAGCAACTCTGCTCCTCATGGGGGTCAATGATCCCTTAGAATGTGCAAGAGAAGGCAACTTCACAATTCCTTCCTCAGTGCCCTCTCAACACGCTTTCAACATTCTCTTGCAGTTGCTTCATCAAGAAAGAGCTGGGTCACTCACACAGGTATGACTTGCAGTTGAAACACCAATCTCGGTAATAAGAGGCCAAAATTCTTTACTCAATCCTATCGAATTGAATATTGGAGTAGAGGCCAAAACCTGCATATCCCTCTCCCTTAAGAGGCACAGGTAGCTGAGGATACTTACAATCACCCTCACAAAAGAAACAACCCAGACAGGAAGTAAAACAAAAGACAACTGCATGGTTCTCAAAGAAATGGAGAAACAAAGCAGCAAATAATACACCTAGTAGTTATAGCAAACCCACCTTGCCTTGTGATGATTTCTGGGCTTAGCGTCCCCACAGCCTGGTCCTCGACCAGGCCTCCTGGTTGCTGGACTGGTCAACCAGGCTGTTGGATGTGGCTGCTCATAGCCTGATGTATGAATCACAGCCTAGTTGATCAGGTATCATTTGGAGGTGTTCATAAAGTTCTCTTGAACACTGTGAGGGGTCGGCCAGTTATGCCCCTTGTGTGTAGTGGAAGTGTGATGAACATGTCTCGGGCCTCTGATGTTGATAGTTCTCTCTGAGTACCTATTGCACCTCTGCTTTTCAACCAGGGGTATCCTGCACATCCTGTCATGTCTTCTGGTCTCATGTGGTGTTATTTCTGTGTGCAGGTTTGGGACCAGCCCCTCTACTATTTTCCATGTGTAAATTATTATGCATCTTCTGCCTGCGCTCAAAAGAATACAGATTTAGGCATTTTAGTCAGTTCCAATAGTTTTAGACGTTTTACTGAATGGATTCTAGCAGTAATGGATCTCTGCACACTTTTCAGGTCAGCAGTTTCTCTAGCTTTGAAAGGGGCTGTCATTGGGCAACAGTATTCCACTCTAGAGAGCACTAGCATCTTGAAAACTACCAGCATTGGTATAGTATCTCTAGTTTGAAAGGGTCTTGTTATCCAACCTGTCATTTTTCTTGCAGTTGTGACGGCTACTTTATTTGTGTTCTTTAAAGGTAAGGTCTTCTGACATGAGTACACCCAAATCCTTCACATTGCTTTTTCGTTCTATGTTATGATTTGACTGCATTTTGTACGTGGTTTCTGTTTTTATATTTTCATTTTTTCCATAGTGCAGGAGCTGGAACGTGTCTTCTTTAAATACCATACTATTTTCTGGGGCCCATTGAAAGACCTGATTTACATCTGATTGGAGATTTGCTGTGTCCTCTGTGTTGTCTACTCATAAAAATCAAAGTATCATCTGCAAAGGATGATAAGGTGCGACAGTTTGTGTCCTTGTCAATGTCCGAGATGAGGATGAGGAAGAGTACTGGAGCAAGCACAACACCCTGGGGGACTGAGCTCTTCACGGTTGATAGTCCGGATTTTATTTTGTTAATTATTACATATTGGGTTCTGTTAGGTCAGGAAATTATAGATCCATCTGCTCATTTTTCCGGTAATTCCTTTAGAACGCATTGTGTGTACAATAACACCATGGTCACATTTGTCGAAGGGTTTTGTGAAATCTGTGTAAATTACATCAGCGTTTTGCTTGTCTTTCATGGCATCTATGGCCATGTCATAGTGGTCCAGCAACTGTGATAGGCAAGAGCACTCCGTTCTGAAACCATGTTGTCCAAGGTTATAGAGATATTGCGATTCCACAATATCTCCATAACCAATATCTTCCACTTATCTTCTTAGCACTCTCTCAAAAATTTTGCCATGTTAGGGCTATCGGTCTGTAATTTTTTACCTCGGCCTTATTTCCTCCTCTATGGAGTGGTGCAATCTCTGCTGCTCCACCCCTAGTTACAGCTGGCCACTGCCAGGTACTTGCCTAGTTGTGCTTGCAGGGGTTGAGCTTAGACTCTTTAGGCCTGCCTCTTGACTGTCAGTCAACTAGTGTACAGATTCCTGAGCCTATTAGGCTCTATCATAACTACATTTGAAACTGTGTATGGAGTCTGCCTCTGCCATATCACTTCCTAATGCATTCCATTTAACTACCGACACTAAATTTTTTTTATTTCTAATATCTCTCTGGCTCATCTGGGTACTTGGTTTTCACCAGAGAGGGGAGAGGAAGAGGCTTGACAAATCATGTCAGATGGAACAATGGAGAGAAGGGTGTGGGTAGTAAACTTTGAACAGGTGTAATTCACTAGCCACTCCCACTACAAATCTCTAGTGTTAAGGAATGGCTCTGGGGCATCCATGCATGCACCCAGCTGTAAACAAGAAATGTTGGAGAAATATATCCCATAATCCCATAATGCCGCTGCTTCCTGATAAGCCTTGTCCAGAAGGCTCTACTTGAATAGACCCAGTGAATACAAAGATTACAGCTCTCTGGGTGGAAGGTATACCATCAACAGGCACTATGATGGTGACTGAATGACCAATATATATCAGTATTGATGGACATCCCTCAGATTCGCAAGTAGCAAGTGCAGGCTTGGTGGGTCGATCCATAATGACGTACTAAAGACCAATTGAGCTTCCCCGATCCTGAAGGTAACGACCAAGCAAGACGCCCAAGTATGACATACACTTGCCAAATAAAGTCCTCGGGATAAACACTTATGAAGGGCATTGACAGCGTCCTATATGTAAAAACATGCGAACCTAGTGCACCCATAACAATAAACACCTGAATGCCCCCAACCTCAGAGCCTTGCAGAGAAACCAATGACCCTTGCATCCCGGCGCCCGGGATCGATCCCGGGACCACAGATTCACGCGCCCTGTGTTCTGTCCGCTCAGCCACCGGTTCCCAACCGGGAGGGAACAGGTTTTGGTCTAGGCAATTAAAAGGACTACTAGGGCTGATGCTCAGCCCCTCCAGAAAAGAATAATAATGTTATGTTTACTAATATTATTTAATAATAAATAATTTGAAGAAGCTACTGCAGCAAAGTAATTGTTAATGTACAAAATCAAGCACACCCTAGAAAATTTTTGCAAATTGTGTAGTGGATTTTGGTAGTTTTAAGGGCACAAATATATATTTTCTATATTAGCTGTGCATTATTGAATTTACAGGTCAAGTGCGTGTTGGAGGTTCTCCTATTTGGTCCTGACAGCTCTGGATGTGATGCTAAAGAAGGTGAAGAAGTTGAAGCAGCATTACAGCGATGGCTTGACCTGGAGAGAGCAACAGTTCTTCACACACTAATCAGGGGACCCTTGGAGTCCTCAGTGCTCACAAAATTCCACCTGCTCTTTCTTGTTAGAACCAATTCTAGAGTTCTCCGGGAAACTATAAAATTATTAGGAGATCCAGAGGTTACCACATTTTAGTATTTTAAGCAAATTACCCATGGTGTGTTAGGTTTTGGAGTTCAGCTATGCAAATTAATCATTCGTGTTGCTTCTGATGCTAGGAAACAACAATCGAGTTTTGATGTTGTTTCTGGTATTGGAGGAAGACTACCTCAAATATATCTATTGTGCTGTAAGCACTGGGGGGATGGAGGATGTTACAAGGTGGTGTGTAGCACACTGTTACTAGTGGTCAGAAATTCTTATTTTTGGATTTATAACATGTATGTAGGTACAATGGCCTCAATATATAAATTATTCCTTTATTACTGCACTGGAAGGTTGGTATTTAGTCAGCAAAAGCCAAAAATAAATTTTATTAATTGCCATTTAGATATCAAGCTACATAATGTTTACAGATGTATATTTTATCTTTGTTAGTGTGACTATTTAGAAATAATTAAGGTTTAAAGAAATTCTGGTACAATAATGACTATCCTACCTTGCAGTAATTCCGGGCGTTAAGGTCCCTGCGGCCCGGTCTCTGACCAGGCCTCCTTACTAACATGTCAGTGCTAGGCAACTTTTCCCTGGTAAACAAAACTCTTCACCAGATGGCTTTACATATATTTTTGACACTAGGTTACCATAGAAATACTGTAAAATTTGAAGTAACTGATAATGTGATAGTCTATATTAGCTGTTGCCTTTGTCAAAGGGGATACAAGTCATATCTTCCACTTTTAAATAAACGGTGACAGTTTATACTGTTGAGAAAGGTACTTGAAAAGTGCTATTAAGGTTTTACTAAAATTGTTCAATAATAATTAAGAGTCCATCTTCATGCTATGCTTAAATCAAAACTGTTTCTTATGCTGTTTTTCTGCTAATCTGCCAACTTATAAACTGTTTTATATTAACTGTAGCAGTGTCGTGCACTACTGCATGTTCAACAGCTATTGATTGCTAGAGCCACTTGCCAGATTTTGAGATTTAGAAATAGCCAACTATATTTTTTTACCTATATAGTACTTGAAATCTGTTAGTGATATTCAATATTTGTAAAGTGAGACAAGAAAATATTGCATTTTGGGGTTGAGGAAGGAAAGTTGTTTAAGCATGCAGACAGGAAGGGAGTAAAGGGTTTGTAACTTCAGCTGTGATTATACAGTATATGAAATTTGAATTTCATGTTTTACCATTTTCTGCGGCACTGTCGTGCTGGACAGTTTATTTACTTTTTTGCATTATTCTTAATGTAGGAAAATGGCTTCAAATTGCAGTTATGCAATATTAAAATACTGAAGTCTTGTAAAGTTTTAGTAATTCAAAAACTGGTCACTTTACAAAAAACTCAAAACATGTTTTATATTGTTCTTAAAGTCAATCTTGCTTCAAGAACTAAAAAGTTGAGGTCAAGGATTTTGCTTGAAGTAAAGGGAACAAATATTAATCATAAGTAACCTTAAGGAGCTCATTGGCTTCATTGTTCGGCTCAAATGTGTTGTTCCTGAGGGTATCCTAATTTGTTAAGCTTTGTATATATTGTAGATGTGTATCTTTGTATATTGTAAATATTGCCAATATTCTTCGTGGTCACATGTAAGTGACATAAAATATACTGGTCAGCTGTATTTCCATTAAAGTGCATTTTTATTTACTTTATGAAACTGCAGCAAAATAATTTATGAAAGATCTAACAATAATGCTAATGGAATAAACTGGTTACTGGAAAGTGGCTAGTCATTCAGTCCTTCACTCAAGTAAGGTGATGCCAGTAAAGGTCAAATTAGCATTGAACAATGCTGAAATTCAGTAAAACAAAAATTATCTCCTTGTATATATATGTAGCAAAATTTACAATTATCATAACTAAGGCTTTCCAGCTTATGGAGCGGCAAAAAACAAAAATGCTGAAGTAACTAAAACACTGACTACAAGGTGTAAGTGATGACAGTTTGACAACAGATGAAACAGACAACTTAGTGATGAAAAGGTATAGTTGGTCCAAGTAGAGAAAATGTTTATACCCAAAATGCAGAGTTACAAATTATAAAACTATTATAAGGGATAACCCGTTATCAGGGGCCAGATTCACGAAAGCACTTCCGTAAGCACTTACGAACGAGTACATCTTTCCTCAATCTTTGACGGCTTTGGTTACATTTATTAAACAGTTTACAAGCATGAAAACCTCCCATTCATCTGTTATTGTTATAAACAGCCTCCTGGTGCTTCGGAGCTCATTAACTGTTTTAATAATTGGAAACAAAGCCACCAAAGATTGAGAAAAGATGTACTCGTTCGTAAGTGCTTGCGTAAGTGCTTTCGTGAATCTGGCCCCAGGTCAGCCCGTGTCCCTCCCCCTCTCCACACCCACCCCCTCCTTGTCTCCCTCTACACCTACCATTATTGTAACCAGATGATAAAACATATGTTCAGATGGCATTTGTTTTAAGTGAATACAGTGCCTGCTTGATACCTGCTTGAGGTATCAAGCTGCCTGAATTCACTATTGATTAAAGTCCAGTAATGCTAGAGTCATCTGTCACTTATTCAATATTCAAGAATGGCTGGTAGCACTGGTGGTGATTTGGAACAACTCTTGTTGACCTGGCAGTGGTGTGATCCGTGTACTGGATGTGCTAACTGTATCATCCTCTTTTATATCTGTATTCCTCTTGCTGATAATGTCGAGTTAGGTCATTATTGGGTTTTGGATCTTCAATATCATTATCAGGGTCTTCTTGATACAATGGGTCACATTTCATCCTCCAGGAGTGATTTTCAACCACTCAACCCATCGATGACCAGGGACTGGAAACATTTTCATCAGCCATGATTGCTCATTGAAATAAAGCCCACTGGCAGCCATGGGGCATGTTGGGATGCTTAAGGTGGTGGATACTCACTGAAGACCTCGGGCGGTCTACTCTGGTGAATGCACGCGAGTTTTGAATCCCACGATGTACCAACATATCTGTTGGCACACCCACCCATCAACCGAAATATCTGTGTGTGCAATGCAGGCATTAAGTGGCCAAAAATAAAGTGTGTTAGTGGTCAATGCACAGCCTAACCAGTCATTCCCACAAACTATTAGTGGTAGGATTATTATAGGGATAGGTCACATTTAAGAATACTGTACTGTACGTAGTTTATCCATAACAGCAGACCATCAAACAAGGAATTCCACTGTGTGAGATGAACAAACATGAATCGCTTCCTTAGAAGCAGCATCTACAAGTTCATTTGAGTTACTAGGGCTGGGTACTAGGAAAAATTTAACTCCTAAATTTGCTAAACATGAGATACAGCAAGTATTAGATTTTGACCACCACAGAATGGGAAGGGCTAGATTCCAAATATATGAGGGTGCTGAAAGAGTCCACCACAATAACATGAACATGACAGATAAAAAGCCATAAGAAAGTGCTGTGAAAATGGTAGTCTCTGGGAGGAAATGATGCAGCACACAGATTTGTGAACACAGAAGCAGAGCATAAATGGCAGGACAAATGTTAAAGGCGCATTTCATAACAGTAGGATTACAAGCCTCCTCTGTAGGTCACCAAGTTGCAAAATTTCACATGGGGAGCAAAATGGGAACAATACAGGGAAATCATTGTAGATATATACACAGAGAATCCTGTAAACAAACCATCCTTGCACTAAAAGAGGATGTAAGAAGAAACGGGGTCCACAAGTGTAATAGGCAATGTACAGCACAAGTGGGAAGGTCCGTGTTGTAAGGACTGCACGAAATACCAGAGGCAGTACTATTCTTAATGAACCTGTTGGTGTCGCCTCCAAATGCAGTTATAAAGATGAAATAAATACTGTTAGTTGCACAAAGGAATATAGCAAAGCACCTTATAGCATACACTATAATGGAACTAGTGTGAAAATTGAAATGTAGAAATTCAATACAAGAAAGGGAGGAGGGAGGCAACATCTGGAACTAATGGCCAAGTGGCCAAGAAGTACAAACTTAGCTCATTCTTGACAATAACACAACCACAGGGGTGAAACACATCATCTGCAACAAATTTACTGTAATTTGTTTTACTTTCTTCAAGAAATGAGGGAGAGGGGTTTTGACAGTAATGGTTTAATTGTAGGGCTTCCAACTCACACTGAACTATGCAAAGCCCTGCAATCCATCATATCTTCAAAAACAATTTAAAAATGTGGGCGTTTGCCAGGCCCAGCATTTATTTCAGATTTGTTCTGTTCACTTAGTGAACAGAACAAGTCTGAAATAAATGCTGGGCCTGTTCATTAAGTGAACTTGTTCTGTTCACTTAGTGAACAGAACAAGCATAATTCAAAATCCACCGTGGAATGCACAGGAGCGTGGAACAGAGTGCAGGCAAGTATATATTATATAAAAAAGAAAGAAAGGGGAGAGCAACATCCAGAAAGACGAGACAGGCAGGGAAGAGTAGCAAGGGTGATGAAAAAGATTCCAGCCCGTCTTATCAAATCTTCACCATGTAAAAGAAAGAAAAGATGGAAAAATGGTCACTTATGGATGGATACAGTAATAAATGAAGAGTTAATACCAGTTGGTTCATCCATATTCAAGAGACAAAGTGAAAGAGGACAAAATGTTATAAAAAGACAATCTCAGGAGTTAGTAAGAATATTACCCAAGAGCTTGTCCACAGTTAAAATTGCCTAAAATGAGTGTGGGTTCAATAAAGTCTAAAGGGTGCACAAGATCCAAGAAAAGTCAAGACAGATTTGTATGGAAATAATTGGAACAGATGGTATACCACTTATTAATTTAATAAATATGCAAGCAGCAGTGAAATCTATGCCCGACTGAAAACATGGAGAAAAAAAAAGTTTCATTATTCCAAACTAAAGTAATACAACTAGGAGCACCAGTGAAAGATGGAGAAGATGACAGCAAGACACGTAACAAAATTTAAAGTAAAACTAGAATATGTAAAACTAGATTAAAGTAAATTTATGTTTCTATCTTTCTTGAGACATAAAAATCTTACATTTATTAACGATTCTGCGTGAAATAAGCATTGTTCTGAGATGAATGAATATTGCGGATTTCCGGCTCTACGACCGATGAAAAATGCAACTTATATACAACTACAAATATCTTTAGTTTTACTTTAAATTTTGTCCTGAAAGAGTTTTCATATATAGATCTAGTTTCTGCCGTTCTTCTGACATAAAAAGACCTTTGGTTTAATAAGTTATTAAGATGTTTTCAACAATATTACTAGGGCGTTCACTAGATTCCAACATGGGCGACCCTTTTGGAAACGCCACACTTGGGTTGACCCGATTGACAGACTGGTTATATTCCAACAGGGTCTGAGACATTTGCACTGGCGGGCGGCGTTCTTGCCAACTATATGGCTGTTAAGTTGAAAATTGTAACTGTTAAGAGCATTCTATTGTGGTTTTAATATTGAACAATTATACATATACGAAACAGACAAATCTGGTGTCCGAAATAGTAAAAATATTAGTGTGTGATGTGATGAATGTAAGGGGGATATTGGGTGTGCCTCGTATCCCCTACAACAACAAGAAGTTCGAGAGCGATGAGGCCGCCACCTACTAGCTTCAGGATGTCGTCGAATCTAAATCAACAATATACTACCGCCGCTACTTTCTCGGAAACGTAAGTACCTGCCGCTTTACTTCTCTCACCCTGCCTAGCCTGGCCTGGCCTGACCTGGCCTAGCCAGACCTGACCAGACCTGACCTGGCCTAGCCTAGCCTTACCTAGCCTAGTCTGACCTGGCCTAGTCTGACCTGACCTGGCCTAGCCTTACCCAACACTAATCACCACACGTGACAGCCCAAACGAATCGCAAATAAGTACACGTAACAAGTCATATGCCCGGACACACTCACCTTGGGGACTGAGTGGTAACTATTGTATAGAAGAGCCGGCTCCCTGAGAGTGGTAAGAGGGCGTGATAAGAGGCTAACGTGTGGTCTTGAAGGAAGTCGATAAAGCAGACAATTTTCAAAAGGAAGGGCAGCATAACGAGCAGACAGGAATGGACAGACAGTCGGTTATCCCATAATGTGTAATACGCCCCGCACAGCATGGGTGGAGTGGGGGGGGGGTGTTGTAGCAGGGCACAGTATGGTGATGGTGCGGGTGAAGTACACACCCACTGAATTCCTGCCATCAATAATTGTTTTCATAACCATTAGAACAATGGCATCCCTCCAGCCACCATCCTTCCACTGACCCCCTCCTCTGGTCCTCCACCTCAGACAATAACCCCCCACACCCCCTCTCTCTTCCAGACATCAGCATGTCAAAATCAGTACCATAATGTGTTTAAACTATTTAAACTAAGTCATTGTGTATCTCAAGGTATCTTAATTCATTTGAAAGTGTACATGTGCATTCGTTCATATACTCGCCTAATTGTGCTTGCTGGGGTTGAGCTCTGGCTCTTTAGTTCCACCTCTCAACCGTCAATCAACAGGTGTACAGGTTTCTGAGCCTATTGGGCTCTATCATATCTACACTTGAACCTGTGTATGGAGTCAGCCTCCACCACATCACTTACTAATGCATTCCATTAGATATAATCATATATGATTACACATAATCATAATCATTCCATACACATAATCATATATGTGTACGTCAACGTATACATACATGTGTATATATACCTCATATTAAAATACTGATAAACGAATGACCATGAACAAATTAATTTATAATTGTAGCACTAT